GGTTTGTCACGGGAGAGTACCACACATATACACCAGGCACAGTCGCAAACGTCATTCAAGAACCCGGATGTGAAAGTCTGAAGCTACGACGATCCAAAGCTCGACTGACCATAATGTACAAGATCCAGAACGACCTAGTGGATATCCCAGCTGATAAATATACCTCAATTGGCGACGCAAGATCAGGAGGATCCCGTAGGCTGCGTGCAATACATGTAAATAAGGAATAGAACAAACAATTCTTCTTTCTCAGAACAACACAGTAGTGGAACAACCTCCCACCTGAGACAGCGACTGCCCCACCACTGGCGCCTTTAATACCATGCTGGATAGCCTCCCAGGAGGTCACAAGGCCTTCTCCGGATAAGTTCATACTACTAGACTGTTAATTGTATATCCTGCCCAAAAGGTTTTAACTGCCAACCAGCATATGCTCCGAGTGTTGAACTATCCCTGGGATGCCGATATGGCAATCCTCATAGTGATACAGATGTAAAGATTCGCAGCATTGGGATGTGTACCTCTACTCTCCAGTATGTAGCAATACATGTAGTTGATTTGACAAGGCGTGACCGTAAACTTTTGGTTGGAGTCTTTTGACTCATTGATGCTAAGTTGTCTTCAAGCAGTGTCCTGCTAGGATGAATGGGATTTTGCGTTGTCTCCAAGTAGTCGGAAGATTTACTTGTCTGAGAAACTCTCAATGAAATTTTCTCCATACCAAAATGAACGCTTCAGATCTGATGCGTTGACCGGTAATGGCATGCTATACTTCAGAGTTTGCTCTTGTGATAGTTGCTGACATTTTTTCAAATCAGTTGCGTTAAGCATGGCTGCTTCCAGTCTTACATATGCATTCTACAGTCAAACATACCTACTTTATTCATGTATAATATTTAGTCTTTATTTATTTTACAACAATTATGAATCAAATTATTTCAACTTATGTTGATCACTTTGGTTGGCACAGATGTAAGGTGGGAGGATTAGGGGTATTAATGTGTTAGGAAATCGGGGTACCCGGAGAAAACCCACGTGGTCGGGCAGGTGACTCCATACCTTTTCACGTCCGATCGGGGAATCGAACTCCGGCCGCGCTAGTGAAAGAGACGCACTATCCACTGCGCCACTCGACCATCCTTACTTTACTTATGCTAGCACTGAGGTTGTACATTTAAAGGTTTCCCTGTAGGCTGATCATTAGTTTGCAGCTGCAGTTGGTCACCGAGCTGGTATACAGTATAACGTCCTCGCGTGATGGACTGCCCAACTGTGTCAATCCCACTTCGAAGCCTGTGTCTTTTTTCTGCAAGAAGGTACAATAAAAGGTTTATAAACATTGTATATGCAGTTGGTAGGGGCCCCATATCCTCCCTTCCTTACTTCCTATCTGTTGTTCCAGAAACCACCGGGAGACTTATCCATCTCATTTGATACGGGGTTTTGGTTGTTGTACCCGCATCAGAAGCTAGGCTAAGAGAGGAGGCCATGTAAATATTGGCCTCTCTGTATTGGGTTGTGCCATACGACATCGAATGCCTATTATGCTTTCAAGAAGGCAGTATGTAGCGTATTGCCTGTCTCTGTGCATTTCGCTTTGAATTTAATATGCAACATTCGGTGACGTCGCTTCGGTAAATTACGCTCAGTTACGTTCTGTGCAACCATGGGATACATCATGACAAAACTGAAAGCTATGTACGTGCCAACTTGTTGGTAAAAGAAATAGACTAGATATATCCTTTGTAAAACAGTACATCAAAGGAATCGTGCGGCAGCATAACGGTGAAATGTACCGGCTTTGAAGTGTGGTGTCGCTCCTCTGTAACCTTCAAAGAACAGGTATTAACCTAGCGATTGGTCGACATCTTTTAAAAATTATGTCGACATGGATAACTCGTAAGTCGAAAGTCGACGGCAGAAATATGCCAGCATTCTTCCTGTAGGTCGGTGTTATGATTCCTGAATCAAAGGCCCCATGAATGGTTTGGTCACCACTGATGTCAATAAAGAATGTTTTGCTAGGACTGAAAGTAGACTGCCACCTGCGTATTTCAGATGTTCTGCAGTAATAGCATCCCCATGTGCAGTTTTCCTATTTCATTGTATTATCAATGTCGTGTTCAGTATACCCTCTGTGTATACAGCTGTACATGTATCTTCTGAGACGCCTTACTTGTATGTGGTTTACCGCGATGCCTTAAGTAGTTAGCTTATCATGAGAATTTATCGTCAGCGACAAAAAA